TTTCNGGACTGTATTTCCATCACCAGGCGCATCCACAACTGAGTACCGTTTCTGTTTTGGCCCCGCTGCTTTATTCTTTCTGGAGCTATTAGTAATTGTTCTCTGCCCTTCTCCAGTAGCGTATTGGACACCTTTTGATCTTGGGGGCTCATGTTATGGTGTCATATCTTTTTGCCTTTTCATACTGTTCATGGGATTCTCAAGGCAAGAATACTGGAGTGGGTTATCATTTCCTCCTCCAGTGAAATTCTATATTTTATTCTATATTTAAAATTCTATACTTTATGATTACTTAAGAGATATTTTTGTTTATTAGTGCTTGAAATGGACAGAGTCACACCAAACTGAGGTTACTGGTTGCTTCTGAGGAGTGGTGTGTCCTCCTGGATTTACAATGGTGATTAAAAGAAATTAGATTTGTCCTTTAGTGTGCTAGGGCTTCCATAACCAAGTACTACAATGGGTCACTTAAGGAACAGAAAGTTACTCCTCAGAGTTTTGAAAACTAGAAGTCTCAGATAAGTTGTCAGGAGGATTGATTTCTTCTGAGTCCTCTCCCCATTGACTTCTTGATGGCTACCTTCTCCCTGGGTCCTTACATGGTCTTCCTTCTATGACTGTCTTTGTCTTAATCTCCTCATCTTATAAGGACCTCAGATATATTGTGCTAGGGCTCATTCATATGACCTCATTTTGCCTTAATTACTAATTTAAAGGGCACATCTCCAAATACAGTCACATTCTGAAGTCCTGAGTGTTAGGACTTTAATATATGAATTTGGAGGTGGTGGAGGGACAGACACAATTCAGGCTATGTTATATCCCTAACATCTTTTATTTAAAACACAGAAACAAAAGAAATTAAGAGTTATATTTGACACTGATACTAAACAAAGTTGTGAAATAAAAGTATATGGTTATCTAAGTCTAGAAAAGTTCTTTGTGGGATATCTATTTACTCTTCCAAACTTTAAGAGTGCTACAGCACCAGATTGCTAACATTTGTAATTTTAGGAAGGTGAAAATGGAAGTTGATAGAGGAATATTCTTAACATGTTTCAATGGATTTTACTTTTTGAAACAGTTGTCAATGTACAGAAACATTTGGGAAGACAGTACAGAGTTTCCATATACCCCACACTTAGTTGCTCCTATTATTAACATTTTACATTAGTATGTGAAACACTAATGTATTTGGTTACAGTTGTCGAACTAGTATTGATACATTGTTAAGTGAAGTCCATACTTTATTCAGATTTACTTTTTCATAATGTTCTTTATTTATTTTTTTTTTATTCCAGGAGTCTATCTAGGATAATTCCACCTAGATTCAGTTCAGTTTAGTTCAGTTGCTCAGTCGTGTCCGACTCTTTGCAACCCCATGAACCGCAGCATGCCAGGCCTCCCTGTCCATCACCAATCCCTGGAGTTCACGCAAACCCGTGTCCATAGAGTCGGTGATGCCATATAAGCATCTCATCCTCTATCGTCCCCTTCTCCTCCTGCCCTCAATCTTTCCCAGCAACAGGGTCTTTTCAAATGAGTCAGCTATTCACATCAGGTGGCCAAAGTATTGAAGTTTCAGCTTCAACATCAGTCCTTCCAATGAGCACTCGAACTGATCTCCTTTAGGATGGACTGCTTGGATCTCCTTGCAGCCCAAGGGACTCTCAAGAGTCTTCTCCAACACCACAGTTCAAAAGCATCAATTCTTCAGT